CCAGCCACGGGGTGCTGCCAGAAACGCGCCGGCAGGGCTTGAGCAATAGCAGCCCATGCCTGACATCTGCCCACACACATTTCGGAGGCCAGTAAACTTCCTGTGGATATTGGCTGCCTGACAAAAGTGACATAAATTCTGCCTTTTGTTTTAGGGTGGGGTTTGGGTTTATTTATTTTTTTTCTTTCTTTTGTATTTTGATAACAGGTAGGAGCTTTGCCTGCCTCTCCCTGGCTTCGGGATATACAAGTTTGGAGGAAGAGCTCAGAGGTGGGGGTTTTTCTGTAGCTCAGGGGCCAGGTCAGGGAATTAAGGCAAAAATGTCATCACACATCTATAAAACACAGTTTATTTTCACCTTTTAGGAAACCAGAGGTACATGTTGCCCCTCCCAGCCTCCCCTCCTGCCCTCTCTTCCCCATCCCCGAGGCTTCATCCCAGCGATACTCCAGGCAGGTGACACGTTTCCTCCAGGAGCCCGATCCACCCTGAGGCGCATCTTAAGCAAAAACCCACACATGACTCAGCAGGCTCCTTTGAGAGACCTTTTTTTATTTAAATAATGTTTTATTTTATTTTTCACATCACCTCAACGAATGAACCGCAGCAAAGCTCCAAATCTTGGCACCTTTGGGCTTCCTGAGCAGAGCTGCAGCTCTCAAACGGACAACGAGATACCCCGTTTGCAACAGCACAACGACACCGTGTGTGTTGGATGCTGCACAAACAGGAGCCACGAAACCCCCAGCAACCCCTAACGGCAACGATGGCCTCGGGACAAACCCAGCTCACCCAGAGCCCCAAAGAGCAACATCACATCCCACAAAATAGCAGCACTGATGGATGCAGCCTAATGGGGTGGGATTGATGACCTGGATATTTCTCCACTCGGGTTTTTTTGGAGTGGGTTATGTTTTCAAATAACCCCCCCCCCAGGGAAATGATGCCCCTGAGCATGTTGGTCCCAGGCTGGCAGGAGGATGAGCAAAAGTTTTTGGTCAGGCAGCCGGGGAGGACAAGCCCTCTTCCATGCCGACCCAAAACCCATCAGCAGCATCACCCTGGACATGGGTAAAGTGCACGGCTGCAACCAAAACCCCTCATTCCCTGGTCAGGTTCTTTATTCCCCTTGTCAGCTCCTGCACAAATTATGGAGCAAAGAAAATTGCAAAATGGGTGCTCAGGAGGGGCCACACAGCTCTGCTGCTACAACAGCACAAGGGAAGCGACACAATTTGGCTTTTTTTCTGCTCCAGTGACCCTCGGACATGCTGGGCTGGCACTCGCTGGAGCCTAGAATCTCCTAAAATCTCAGACAGACAGACAGACACATGCACACAAACCGACACCTAATAAAGTGCATTTCTTTAGGCAACCAGCCTACCGATTAAAGGGGAATATTTGGGGATACACCGCTCCCTTCCTCTCCTACCCGACCCCGAGGGACCCAGGGGCACAGACAGGTGAAGGCAGCAACCGTGGCCACCCAGCCCCCTCTCCAGGACCCGTAGCCCTGCCTGCATGCTGCCTTCAGCCCAAAACGACTGCGGGGACCTTGCTGGGAAGCACACCAGCAGGAAGCTTTGCTCCCTGACACGCAGTTAGTGTTATAGCAAACCCCCCTCCCCCTGCCATGCTTCACCCCCCGACCCTCCCGCAGCATGGCCGAACACAGCCTGCACCCTTCGCCGGGTGGGAGCAGCCCTGTCTAAGGGTGATGGCGATATCTAGGTACTCATCAGTCCTTTCCATCTTGTCCCAGCGTATTTTTTCCCTGGGAGAGACCACAATGGCTTTCCAGAGACTTCCCAAACACGCGATGACACCAGGCCACCCATACCTGGCCCACTCTTCAGCAGATACATCTCCTTATGGGCCACAGAGCTTCGTTAAACATCTGTCAGGGCTGTGCTTCACCTGGCAGATGTCTCCTGGAATGGCTGAGGGACCTACTGCCCGCAGGGGTCCAGCCGTGCTGCCAGTTTTGTCTTTGCGGGGGACGGAGTCCGTCTGTCCCGGCTCGCGGGGGTCACCTGGCAGCACAGCACCGAGCGCATGAACCGCAGGACCGGCGGCCTCAGGATGGCGAAGACCCACGGGTCGACGATGGAATTAATAGAGAGAAACCTCAGGGCTAGGAGGTCCCATTCTTGGTTGTCCTCTTCCTCGCTGAACTTGTTCACGTAGGCACGGATCTGCAAAACACGACGGGGAGAAATAATGTCCGGTCTGGGCTTCCAGAAGCTGGCCCCCGGGCGGTTTCTCGGGGAGATCTGGGCTGTCACAGCACACTTGCTGCCACCACCGGTTTAAATTAACTTCTCGCTAACGAAAGCCAAGCCTGCGGTCTGCCCTCAGCACGCAGCGAGGCTTCATTTAGCCCTAACGCAATTAAGCCAGCGGCTGCTTAAGGGAGAGGTGGGTCTCGCCTTGGAAACCATATGGGACAAAGAAATGTGCAAGATGGAGAGGATGAGGGGTACCGGACCGCTCCGGTCCTTCCTGCAACATGCCGACTCATAGCGGCTTACGGAGCTTCCTGGAAGCATGACTCAGCACTCCTTACTCATGCGGGTCGAATCGCCACCCCCTCGCTTCAGGGGAGAGGGGATGCTCGGACAGGGGTGGGACCTGGGGGGGATGGGAGGCATGAGCATCCCTCCTCCGGCCGGGCTCCGTCGGGTACCACCCAGGGATGCTGCGTCCCAGGGCAGGAGGTGGCCACGGTGCAGCTGGTACCCGGGGTTGCTCAGAGCGTAGCAATTCCGAGGGCTGCCCTGGGCTCAGGGCTTTTTTTTTTTGGGGAAGGATTTGGTGATGCTGCGGCCTGATGCTCGCTGGGTTCATGCGCCCACACCGCTCCTCAGAGGGTGGCTGCTGCGGGCAGCCCCAGCCAAAAGTGTCACACCAAGGAGACCCCGGCAGCGTCTGGCAGCTCTGTTTGAGGCTTTGCCAAAACCCAGCCCAAACACAACCCCGCACGGGAGCCGGGCGGTGGGAAAAGCAAATCCGGCTGTGCTTCTGGATAAGACTATATCTGCCACCGCAGGGCCTGTGGGATCCCCACCAGCGGCTCTTTCCCATCCCGTCTGCCCCCAGCAGGCTCGCAGGGCCCTGCCAAGGGGTCCCACTTCGTAACAGCCCCGGCACCCAAACCTGGGGTTTTTTCAGGACGCGGGGAGAGCCACTCATCGTGTGTGGGCCCATTGACGGGAGCTGAAGCATCCCTCAGGATGTTGAGTCTGGCTCCTGGGATACTCACGAGCATCTGGATGTAACTGCTTTGTCTTTTCTCCGTCTTAAACCCCAGGCAGCCTGGCTCGGCTGCAGCCTGTGGCTTTTTTCTTTACTCTTGGGAAAAGAAAGGGAGCACGAAGGGAAGGTAGCGTCTATTTAACTCTGTGAGCACAAAATTAGCGCTGGCTGAGCTCCCAGCCTTGGTGGGGCCGGCTTCTAATGGGAACAAAATGACCTCCCGTGGCAGCGGGCTCGCACATACGGGCAGGGCACACGAGGGGCTCGAGGTGCTCCGGAGTCCATGATGCTGCTGGTGTAAATACAGTTTGGATGGATGAAAAGCGGCTCTTTGGTGGGGAGAGCCTGGGGCAGAATCAGGGAGTCGATCTCTCCCCTTCCTCCCTTGGCTGCGGTGTTTTGATCCCGTATTCCCACTGGAACCCTCAGGCACAGACGGGCCATGGGATGGGGGCACAACCCTTGGGACGAGGTGTGCTGTGGCCCATGTGATGGATCTCCATTCCCAGCAGTCACCCATCTCTGGGCCCACACCCTGGTGCTGTTGCAGAGGAGCGGAGATCTCCGTCTAACAGTGGGGTCGGTGCTGCCTGCCCACATCTCCAGCTCCATCCTTCCCTCCTGCCACAGAAATCTGGGATAACTCTGCCCATCCAGCACTGATACGCACTGTCTCCAGTGCAGGGGCATCCCCTTCATCCCCATTTTTGGATGTCTAATTTATTGCTCTGCCACCTCCACCATGAATGCCCAGCTCCTGGGAACCGCAGAGGAACCCTGCCCTGGACCCTTCCTGAGCCACACTGCCTGCCCTCAGAGCCTCTGTGGGATGGGAAGGCACCTCTGTTCCTGCCATCCCATTCTCCTGCCACCCTGTCGTCTTGCCACTCCATCCTCCTGCCACCCTCTCGTCCCATCACCCCATCCTCCTAGCACTGGGGATACGGGGAGTCATTCCCCCGGCTCCCCAAGGGATGTGCAAATTGTCTAGAGTTTGGGGCAGAGCTGAGGGGCTTCAGGAAGAGCTGAGCTTTGACCTCAGCCCTTGAGGTTTGGGGTCACCCAAGCTTCAGGAGGACCTGAGCTTTGACCTCAGCCCTTGAGGTCTGGGGTCACCCAAGCTTCAGGAGGAGCTGAGCTTTGACCTCAGCCCTTAAGTTTGGGGTCACCCAAGCTTCAGGAGGAGCTGAGTTTTGACCTCAGCCCTTGAGGTTTGGGCAGCGGAGTGGAGGGGGGGAGGCTTGTAAAGGAAGGGAGAGAAACGGGGATGCTGGGAGAGGGACCCCACCCCAGGGGAGAGGCGGTCGCACTCACCGTGAACGGCAGGGAGCAGATGACGAAGGTGATGGTCATGATGGAGAGGAGAAGGAGATGGTCGATCTCTTCGGCCATGGAGAACATGCGCCGGC